CCTCTTCCTCCATCTTCACGTCCTTCCTCTTCATCCACCGTCGCGTCCTTCCTCTTCCTCCACCGTCGCATCCTTCCTCTTCCTCCGCCGTCGCGTCCGTCCTCTTCCTCCATCTTCACGTCCGTCCTCTTCCTCCATCTTCACGTCCGTCCTCTTCCTCCATCCTCACGTCCGTCCTCTTCCTCCATCCTCACGTCCGTCCTCTTCCTCCATCCTCACGTCCGTCCTCTTCCTCCATCCTCACGTCCGTCCTCTTCCTCCATCCTCACGTCCGTCCTCTTCCTCCATCCTCACGTCCCTCCTCTTCCTCCATCCTTTTCACGTCCATCGTCTTCGTCCGTCCTTTTCCTCCACCGTCACGCCCATGTCCTCTTCCTCCACCGTCACGCCCGTCCACTTCCTCCACCGTCACGCCCGTCCTCTTCCTCCACCGTCACGCCCGTCCTCTTCCTCCACCGTCACGTCCGTCCTCTTCCTCCATCGTCACGTCTGCCCTCTTCCTCCATAGTCACGTCCGTCCTCTTTCTCCATAGTCACTGTGACGTCTTTTTATCTCCAGCAGATGATGATACACACATATATAGTGTGGGAACCCAGATTAACCCCTTCAGGGGCAGAACATTCCCCACTTCTGGGGCCGTAACATTCTCCTCATTGTGGAGATCTCACCTTCCCCACCAATCACCTTCTAACCTCCTCAGTCTATACTAGCGGAATATACCACTTTTATTGGGGGTGGAGAACGTGACTTTTATCTAAGGGTGGATTTTACTCTGAATGTACTGAAGGATCCAAAACAGATTCTTATATAATTATCATTTCAGTCTCAGATGTTCTTCCTAAAATGTGATCCTCAAGGTACGTCGATGTCATTGTTCTCTAGGATTTATACAGCCTGTACAGCAGGAAGATGTGAAAGATGAATTGATGGAGAAAGTAAACGTTCAGTCGTTAGGTGGAGGTGGAATAAACTTCCCTGAAGAGATGAATCTTCAGGGATCACCTAAAGCTGGACAGAGTAGGAGATAATCGGAAAGATTTAGGGAAGGGAGTTCCAGAGGACGGGAGAGGTGAGCACGGGAGGAGGTGGTGAGGGATCTAGAGATAAGAAGTATTGGGAGGAGAGGACAGTTTGGGTGATAAATTGAGATGAGGTTGGTGATGTAGCTTGAGGCATAGTTGTGGGTGACTTTGTATGTTGCTGTTTTGAACTGTATTCATTTGGGTGATTGGAAGCCTGTGGAGGGATTGGTAGAGTGGGATGGAGGACACTGAATGGAGGTCAGTGGAGGGATTAGCAGAGAGGGGTGGAGGACAGTGAATGGGAGCCAGTGGAGGGATTGGCAGAGAAGGGTGGAGGACACTGAATGGAGACCAGTGGAGGAATTGGCAGAGAGGGTTGAAGGACAGTGAATGGAAGCCAGTGAAGGGATTGGCAGAGAGGGGTGGAGGACACTGAATGGAAGCCAGTGAAGGGATTGGCAGAGAGGGGTGGAGGACACTGAATGGAAGCCAGTGGAGGGATTGGCAGAGAGGGGTGGAGGACACTGAATGGAAGCCAGTGGAGGGATTGGCAGAGAGGGGTGGAGGACACTGAATGGAGGCCAGTGGAGGGATTGGCAGAGAGGGGTGGAGGACACTGAATGGAGGCCAGTGGAGGGATTGGCAGAGAGGGGTGGAGGACACTGAATGGAGGCCAGTGGAGGGATTGGCAGTGAGGGGTGGGGGACACTGAATGGAAGCCAGTGGAGGGATTGGCAGAGAGGGATGGAAGACACTGAATGGAGGCCAGTGGAGGGATTGGCAGAGAGGGGTGGAGGACACTGAATGGAAGCCAGTGGAGGGATTGGCAAAGAGGGATGGAGGACACTGAATGGAGGCCAGTGGAGAGATTGGCAGAGAGGGGTGGAGGACACTGAATGGAAGCCAATGGAGGGTTTGGCAGAGAGGGGTGGAGGACACTGAATGGAAGCCAATGGAGGGATTGGCAGAGTGGGGTGGAGGACACTGAATGGAGGCCAGTGGAGGGATTGACAGAGATGGGTGGAGGACACTGAATGGAGGTCAGTGGAGAGATGGGTGGAGGACACTGAATGGAGGTCTGAGGAGGGATTGGCAGAGATGGGTGGAGGACACTGAATGGAGGTCAGTGGAGGGATTGGCAGAGAGGGGTGGAGGACACTGAATGGAGGCCAGTGGAGGGATTAGCAGAGAGGGATGGAGGACACTGAATGGAAGCCAGTGGAGGGATTGGCAGAGAGGGGTGGAGTACACTGAATGGAGACCAGTGGAAGGATTGGCAGATAGAGGTGGAGGACACTGAGCGGTTGGTAAGGTGGATGAGACTGATAGCGTACGTAGAGGTCAGCCAACAAGAGGAAGGTGCAGTAGTCGGGGACAGAGATAACAAGGCAGTGAATTAGTAGCCTGGTGGATATCCTCCTTCTACCCACACTGGGCTGCCATTGGAGGGAAAAGTACAAACTCCTCCCCCACAACTCTCTGCTGTACCAGCAGCATCCGCCTGCCATCCAATCCAACCCCTTCTCTTACTGCAGAGAGTGACATCACTCCTGTCAGTCAGAAGGCTGCTGGAGATTGGAGTCTTCCAGACTGAGTTCTGCCAATTATCCCGATTATCCGGCAACTCCGGCCAAAAGTCAGCAACTTCCCCTTCCTGGACATCATGATGAGCCGACATTGTCCTCACAGCACTGCCTCCGAGCAAACAGGTCATAGGAAGGATCGTATTTATCATTCCTTGTCTGCAGATCGAAAAGTGAGCAAAACCAGTCCAGACACAAAACAAAGCCAACAGAGAGAATGGGATTTCTGATCCAGCGGGCCAAAAGGGTCCCGGGACCTCCAAAACATTAAACAGTCCAATCTAAAAGTGTTCCCAATGGGGGCAGCAGTCATTAAATGTAGAGCAACCCTCCTATTCCCCTCCACCCCCATTCACATCCTATCATTTTGTGTGACCTATACCATCCAAACCATTCTTACTGTCATTTCCCAAAGTTATCCGTCTACAAGGAGACCTGTATAGACCAATGAGGATGGAGGAGGACCGGAGTCACATGACTGAGAGGATTCTAAACCTCACCCTGGAGATCATCTACCTGCTGACCGGAGAGGTGAGGAGGATTCTGGGAGGTCACATGACATCACTCTCATCTCTATTAATAAAACACAGACCTGACCGGAGAGGTGAGGAGGATTCTGGGAGGTCACATGACATCACTCATCTCTGTTAATAAAACACAGACCTGACCGGAGAGGTGAGGAGGATTCTGGGAGGTCAAATGACATCACTCTCATCTCTATTAATAAAACACAGACCTGACCGGAGAGGTGAGGAGGATTCTGGGAGTCTAACATGATGTTCCTATTGGTTCCCCCAATACAGAGATTTCCTCTTCTGAAGTCAGGTGATCATATGACCATCACAGTGCCTCCATGTGACTCCCTAAACCCTGAGAGACACAACATGCAGAAGATTCTAGAAGTCACCAAGAAGATGATGGAGCTTCTGACAGGAGAGGTGAGCGGTGCCGGGAATTCTGGGACATTCTCCAGTAACATACAAGGGATGTGTCTGGATGGTGACTGTATCATTGTGTGTGTCAGGTTCCTATAAGGTGTCAGGGTGTCGCTGTCTATTTCTCCATGGAGGAGTGGGAGTATATAGAAGGACACAAGGACCTCTACAAGGACATCATGATGGACAATCAGCCGCCCCTCACATCACCGGGTAAGAGGAGACTTTATTGGAAAGGAGAGAGCAGTACGGAGGCTCCACCTAGATCCCCCATCATCTGATAAACACATAGAAACAATGGATTCAGTCAGTGTGTGTTTCCTACAGATGGATACAGTCATGGGAACCCACCAGAGAGATGTCCCCGTCCTCTGTATTCCCGGGATTCCACACAGGAAGGTCACACCATCCCTCACCATCATCAGGTAGATGGATCCAGTCATGGGAACCCATCAGAGAGATGTCCCCGTCCTCTGTATTCCCAGGATTCCACACAGGAAGGTCACACCATCCCTCACCATCATCAGGTAGATGGATCCAGTCATGGGAACCCACCAGAGAGATGTCCCCGTCCTCTGTATTCCCAGGATTTCACACAGGAAGATCTCACCATCCCTCACTATTACAAGGTTGGTGGGACGGAGAATCTAGAACATGGACTCATGGAGACGATGTGCGGATTTTCTATGTGATGTCACAATAATAAATCTTCTATCTTACAGATGATATTTTCTCTCCTTCTCTTGATGTAGAGTGGAGATCCAATCGATATAGAATTTGAGGTGAAATCAGAAGAAGAAGAGGCGTATGTGAGGGATGATCAGCAGTCTATGGAGGAGGATGGAATAACGGGGACATTTATAGAGGAGGACACTCCTACAGAGATCAGCACAGGTGGGTCAGGAACACAAAGTCCATTCCTCCACCCATACTGCTCACTGATTGGTCACTGACCCATTTCCTAGTTCCCTTGGGGGTGGAATTGTAAGCTCCTCAGAGACCAAGCTGCCTGATGTGGGCGGAGTCCTGGTTTGGGGGAACCAATCAGCTCCTGTCTAGTAATCCTCTTTGTCTTTGTATTTTAGTTCATGGTCGGGAGATGAGGAAAACCTCCGAGGATTGTCTCTCTTTGTCTCCAGACTGGAAAGTAGAAGATGAGGACATCACACAGTATAGTCCAGGAGAAAACCCGGCTCCCTTCAATGTCCATCCAGTACCACCCAGTGTAGATGGACCATCGTATGCCTTGTACCCTGAGGAACCTCAGTCTGTGCGGGACTGGGCCAGCCTTCCAACAGGGAAGAGCTTCTCCTGTACTGAGTGCGGGAAATGTTTTCAATCTAAATCTGATCTTAATTCTCATAAGAGATCTCACACGGTGGAGAAGCTGCATTCCTGTCCTGAGTGCAGGAAATGTTTTTCAGAGAAGTCCAGTCTTTACAGACATCAGAGACTGCACATGGGTAAAAAGCTGTATTCCTGTCCCGAGTGCGGGAAATGTTTTCTATATAAACCAGCACTGGATGTACATTACAGATCTCACACTGGGGAGAAGCCGTATTCCTGTCCTGAGTGCGGGAAATGTTTTTCAGATAAGACCAATCTTTCCAGACATCGTAGATCTCACACGGGGGAGAAGCCACATTCCTGTCCACAGTGTGGGAAACATTTTTCTCAAAGAAATGCACTAGTCACACATCAGAGGTCTCACAAGGGTGAGAAGCCTTTTTCTTGTACTGAGTGTGGGAAATGTTTTTCAAATGAGTACAGCCTTTACAGACATCAGGGACTGCACACGGGTGAGAAGCCACATTCCTGTGCAGAGTGTGAGGCATGTTTCCTTCATAAATCTTCACTGATTATCCATCAGAGGTCTCACAAGGGGGAGAAGCCATATTCCTGCCCAGAGTGCGGCAAATGTTTTTCAAAAAAGTCCAGTCTATGCAGACATCAGCAATTACACACGGGCGAGAAGAAATACTCCTGTCCTGAGTGCGGGAAATGTTTTTCACTTAAGTCGACTCTTTGCAGGCATCAGAGATTGCATACAGGAGAGAAGCCGTATTCCTGTCTTGAGTGCGGGAAATGTTTCCTTCATAAATCTTCGCTGGTCTCACATCAGAGTTCCCACACGGGCGAGAAGCCATATTCCTGTCCTCTGTGCGGGAAATGTTTTTTAAATAGGTCCAGTCTTTACAAACATAAAATAGTGCACACGGGCCAGAAGCAACGTTCCTCTCCCGAGTGAGGGAAATGTTTCTTTTTAAATGTGCACTGGCCCTACACTAGAGATCCCACACAGAAGGCAGATTCTTGTTCTGAGTGTGGGAAATGTTTTTCAGGGAAGTCCAATCTTTATATCATCAGAGATTTCACACGGGTGAGAAATCCTGTTCCTGTACTGAGTGCAGGAAATGTTTTCTTTATAAACCAGCACTAGTCATACACCAGAGATCTCACACAGGCGAGAAGCCACAGTCCTGTCCTGAGTGCGGGAAATGTTTTTAGGAGAAACCCAATCTTTACGATCATCAGAGATCTCACATGGGGGAGATGCCACATTCTTGGCCTGAGTGTGGGAAATTTTTTTTCTATAAACCAGCACTGGTCATGGTCATACATCAGAGATCCCAAGCAGGCGGGAAGCCAAGTTCCTGTCCTGAGTGCGGTAAAAATGTTTTTCAGAGAAGCCCAATCCTTAAAATGATCAGAAATTACACACTGGTGAGAAGCCACAGTCCTGTCCTGAGTGCGGAAAATGTTTTCTTTATAAATCAGCCCTGGTCATACATCAGAGATTCCACACAGAAGCCACATTCCTGTCCCAAGTGCGGGAAATGTTTTGTATGTAAATCAGAACTTCAAAGGTCTCACATAATGAAAAGCCATATTGTGGGAAATTTTATTCTTTGAAGTCCTGTTTTCCTGTACATCAGAGACTGCACATGGGGGAGAAGCCACTTCCTGTCCTGTGTGCGGGAAATGTTTTACATGGAAATCCAGTCTTGACACACATCAGAGATCTCACACAGGGGAGAAGCCACTTTCCTGTCCTGAGTGCAGGAAATGTTTTACACAGAAATCCAGTTTTGACACACATCAGAGATTGCACGCGGGACATAAGCCATATTCCTTTTCTAAGTGCGGGAAATGTTTTATCAGATCTTGTCACACATCAGAGATCCCACATGGAAAAACCATATTCCTGTTCTGAGTGCAGGAAATGTTTTTCAATGAAGTCCCATCTTTTCAGACATCAGAGATCTCACATGGGGAGAAGCCACATTCCTGTCCTGAGTGAGGGAAATGTTCCTCACTGAAGTCCTGTCTTCCTGGATTCCCACACAACCCTAAAGGTGTATTAGCGCCTTGACTGCGGGAAATGTCTTCTAGATGAATGTTGCTGGACATCCCAGCTCTCATGTGGGGAAGAAGCCCCCCCCCGATATACACCTCCGATATACTCCATGGCTGATCATCATGGAAGGAACAGTTCATAAGGAGGTCAGAGGTCACCGAAGACGTGGATGAAGTGTGGGACCGGGTTGGCCATGGATGGTAGGAAAAGAATAAAAATGGTGTCCTGAGATGCCATTGGCTGAGTACATTTTGTGGTGGGAGATTTCCGTTGTCAGGCATGGTGTCATCCGAATCACGAAATCCTACTCATGGGGTTTTCACTGTCAGCCCTGGGTACAGGTTGATTGAACCAACTGTAAGCTCGGCTCACTCTGCCGCGACTCGGGATCTGACTTATAAGACCCCCCCGAGTCACATGACCTGTGATATTCTATGTCAGTCAATGAGAGCCGTCCTAAGTGGCACGACCGAAGTCGCTGCCACTTTAGAAAAGGTTCCTGTGCTGCTTCCAGGCGACTTCCATCTGACTTGTGCCCATAGACTTCAATGGAAGTTGCCTCTGAGTCGGATCCTGCTCTATATTGATGTGATTTGGATCCAACATGACGAAGATTACCCAGCATTTCCTAAAAGTCGCTCTCAAGTCGCCTGGCAAAGTCACACCGTTCAGGTCGTAGGAGTATGAACCGAGATGAAGGGGACATGGGTCAATGAGTCCTGGACGTCGTGCCAAAATCGGTCCACGCCATGAAGTGGGAGGTCCTTCAACCTGGTATCGGTCTTCTTATCGCTGTAGAGATCGCTACATTTCGGCAGGAATTTATATTTCCGCTCTTCCCTCTCCCTCTGTGTCTTTAGGTTCCTCATCACAATGGCAACCAGACACCGCCCCCCCCCCCCCCTCCCGGGGTCCTCAGTACTAGGGTCAGTTCGGAAAATGTTCTACTGTGAGATGTGCGGGAAAGTGTTGGAAGGTGCGGGAAGGCCCATCCTACTGTTTTCAACCACTTAAGAGCCGCCCAATAGCAGCTATACTGCTACAAGGCGACTCTGCTGTGCCAAAGCATGCATCTCTACATGCAGGGCTGCTGTTAGGAGCCATGGGGCCCCATACGCAAACCTGATAGGGCCCCCCCAAAATAAAAAAACAGTTTGCCATGCTTCGGTCATGAATGAACACAGTGAGTAACAGGTACCGATCACCCTCACCGTTCCGATCACCCTCCCAGCAGTCCCGCTATAAGTCGCTGATCGCCGCCATTACTAGTGTAAAAATTAAAACAAAAACAGTATATATACACCACCAAGTGTGGAGGCCATCTTGGTTCCAACGTTCCTTCACTCCACGGGTCCTGCTGGCCAAACGGTACCTGCTCCATTCCCACCAGTAACATAGGATACACAAATGCGACGAGCATGTCCTTTTTGTATTTCATGTATGTGGTTTTACCCTTTTATGCTAATAAACCGCCATCTTGCTGCACTTAGAGGCGCCTTATTTTTGTGTTCTATTATCATTATCAGAGCCTTGCTTCTACTCTATGAAGAGCTGCCCTAGTGTTCACTTGGCCTCCCATCTCTTTCGGTCTTAACTGGATGTCCTAAACCCTAGCATCTATAGGGGTCTGGTCCTAGCAGGAGTACCCTATGGTCTGTACATATTCTGGGGATGAGTCAGCCTGGGAGTGAGGTCACCTCAGGACAGGCTGGGAGGTCTAACAGGTCAGAGCTTCTGGAGCCCTCCTACCTTTCCAGAAACCTGAGAGCTTTCTGGAGCAGAGGGGAGGAGGCCCAGATGTGTATGTCTGAGGGACCTTAGCCTATTCCCGGGCAGGAGGCTGGTCATGGTGACCAAGGCAACCATCAAATATCAGAGAGGCTGGGGAATAGTGAGCAGTGTCTGGTGGAAGATGAACTGAGGAATGCTGGAGGGAGGGGAGCCCACCTATGGGCAAGTCACTGGAGAAGAAGAGGACAGGCTGGGAGGTCTAACAGCTCAGAGCTTCTAAATCCCACCTACCAGAAACCTGAGAGCTTTCTGGAGGAGAGGAGGCCCAGATGTGCATGTCTGAGGGACCTTGGCCAGTTCCTTGGCAGGAGGCTGGTCATGGTGACCAAGGCAACCCTCAAATATCAGAGAGCCTGAGCAATAGTGAGCAGTGTCAGGTGGAAGATGGACTGAGGAAGGCTGGAGGGAGAGTAGCCCACCTATAGGCAGGTCACTGGAGAAGAGGAGGACAGGCTGGGAGGTCTAACAGGTCAGAGCTTCTGGAGCCCTCCTACCAGAAACCTGAGAGCTTTCTGGAGCAGAGGAGGGTTGGAGGTCCAAATGTGCATGTTTGAGGGACCTTGGCCAATTCCCAGGCAGGAGGCTGGTCATGGTGACCAAGGCAACCCTCAAATATCAGAGAGCCTGAGGAATGGTGAGCAGTGTCGGGTGGAAGATGGACTGAGGAAGGCTGGAGGGAGGGGAGCCCACCTATAGGCAGGTCACTGGAGAAGGGGATCTCTACTGCCACAACGTCTCCTGGAGAGGAACACCTGTATAGCAGGGAAGGAGCAAGCCCAGCATAAGGCCTGAAGGTGGCCACCAACCCACTATGTTAACAGGAGAGGACAGAGCTACTAATATCCAAGCTGAAGACATATATGAATGCTCTGGGAAATGGGATAGAGATAAGGGGAGAATCCTTACAGGCTAATATAGTTTTAATTCAGAAGGAAGATAAAGGCCCCTCGCAGTGTGCTAGTTATAGACCATTAGCGCTGTTGAATGTAGATACTAAACTATACGCAAAGGTTTTGGCAAATAGACTGAAAGATCTGATGCCGGAGTGGATACATGGAGATCAGGTGGGGTTTGTCCCAGGGAGAGAGGGTAGAGACAACGGCTTGAGATCACTGTTTCTCATACAGGAAGGTAAAAAAGGAAAAACCCCAATGATACTGATGTCGATTGACGCTGAGAAAGCATTTGATAGAGTGAGTTGGGGTTTCATGATGGACACCTTGGAAGTGTTGGGGATGGGAGACAGAATGAGAAAGTGGATTGGAGAGCTATACAGAGGGCCTACTGCCGCCATCATGGTAAATGGAGGAAGATCGGAGCTTTTCGAGATGTCAAATGGTACAAGACAGGGATGCCCATTATCCCCACTGTTATATGTTTTATCATTGGAGTCATTATTGTCCACGATTAGGAAGAACATAGATAAAAAAGGAATATGGATAGGAGTTAGAGAACATAAGGTGGCGGCTTATGCGGATGATTTGATGTTCTATGTAGGAAATCCTAGAACATCACTTCCAAACTTAATGAAAATATTGAAAGAATATGGGGAACGATCAAATTTAAAAATTAATCTGACAAAAACCGAAATCTTAAATATAAACCCTAAAAATAGTGAAAAAGAAAAAATACAAGATGAATTCCCCTTTGTTTGGAGAGATAAAGAATTAAAGTATCTGGGGATAAAACTATCAGCCTCAATTAACCACTTGAGCTCCAGAGGATTTACCCCCCTTAATGACCAGGCCTCTTTTTGCTACTCGACGCTGCACTAATTCAACTGATAATTGTGCGGTCATGCAATGCTGCACCCAAACGAAATTTACGTTCTTTTTTTCACACAAATAGAGCTTTCTTTTGGTGGTATTTGATCACCTGTGCGCTTTTTTTATTTTTCACGCTATAAACAAAAAAAGGCCAAAAATTTTGAAGAAAAACAATATTTTTTATTTTCAGCTATAAGTTGGTTATAAATTTAGGCCAA